AGAGCCCCGCGCTAGGCCGCTGGGGCTGAGCTTAGCGTTTGGCCGCCTTAGCCGGGTGTTTTGGTGTTCAGCTGGTACGGTGCGTACAACGTGGGGTGCGGTCTTTGGTGGTTACAACTTCCCGCCCTTTTCTCACAGGACGGTTTAGGGGTTTAATTAGTATAAACTATAAAAACATTCCACTTTATCTTGTTAGGAGATTCATTCTAATCTCTTATAATTTTCCACTAAACAAACTTGAAAATGTAGAATAATCTCATCCATCCATCTTGACTTATCAATGGAGGGAAATTAGAGAAAAAAGGGACGAAAAACATGACAATTTTTATACAGAGTAATTCTTACAAATATTGGACTTACACTGAACAAACATGAGAATGCATTCACTAATAATTAACCGTGTACTCAAGAAAAAACAAACACTCTCGAAGACTCCTCAACCACATGCAACCCCAAGCTAGGTACCTTCTCATAAAATATCATTCACTCTACCTACTTATTAATCTTTATATTGATATGACATTAGGGAAAAAAAAAAAAAAAGGGACCACTTCCTACAAAGAATACTCATAATATCCTCTTTTGAGGCGTTTGGTTGAAAGGAGAAAATTAAGTGGGAAAGGAATTACAATTCTATGAAAGATGAAAAATGTGGGAATAAAGTGGTAATTGAAATGTTTGGTTTGCATGAATAGAATTACTGAAAATTTGATCAATTTCAATGTTTAGTATACATGGCCGGGAATCGAAAGTGGATAAGTAATATAAAGTACATAATACTCATTATTATTATTATTATTATTATTATTATTATCTGACCAAATTCAAATTTTGCTTTTGAAAATTTATGTAATACGTTGTAAATAAACTTTAGAATTGCATAATGAAAGGAATAATATAGATAATGGAGTTTTGAAAAAAACATATTTTATTGAGGTTGGTTTATTGATTGATGTTCTCCATTGAGAGTAGAAGAAGAAGACACGCTAATCGAAAGAGAGACCAAACATCAATTTTAGGTTTAAAAAAATGAGTAATTTTGTTTCAAATTTATTTATTTTTTCTTAAAATCCATTAAATTGAAATACTAAGGGGCATGAGATTCTAATTCCATGAAAATGATGGAATTTTAATTTTGTTAAATTGGCAAACGAAAGAACCTTCAGAATTATGTGTGAATCGAATTATAATTTTCTCCCACCAAACTTCCTGTTAAAGATGGAAGCTAATGTAAAAAATTGGCAGAAGGGTCAAATAGACCAATGTACTAACTTATAGTCGATTTACAATTAAGAGTATAATTGCTTAGATGGACCATATTTAAATTTATGATGTTAGATGAACAATGTCTACACTAAAAACTTAAACCCAAAACTTTTCACATAGAAAAAACAATCGGATACCAGTGGACCACAAAGTCCTTGATAGTACATTGATGTATTTGTCTGCCTAAATTATTTTTATTTGGGTACATTTACCACAAAACAAAAAAGGGCGGCATGCTTGGGAGTAAAGAGTAATTACCAACCCCAAATGTCGTAAGCTAATTAATTAAGAAACGTTATCCCGATTAAGACAGTTAATCCATCATTATTATATTTGTACTAAGAAATCAAAGAGAATGATTAGGTTGGGATAATATAAATATAAATATATTATCAAATGTATCATATACGACAACATATTATGATTACAACGTTTGACTTTGGTTTGAATCAATTAATTTAATTAATTAATGTCTTACGTACTTCATTAAAACCGCCGGCCACCATGCTTAATGGGTTCACTAATTTGCGAGATTAAAGGGGAGATTGTGAGTTCAAAGTTGGACATTGCAGGTCTACCTGTTCCTTGGGGTGGGCCCTTTGTGGCCAATAGGGCTTTGCTTAGTCAAGTAGAGACAAAAACAGAGTCCATGTGATACTTAATACCATCTGAGATCCTTCAAATATAGTAATTTTGTGTCATATTAAGTCCTAAATTTTCAAATTGATCAGTGGTTCTTCGACTTTCAAATTTAATCATTTGTGGTCCAAGTTAACTACTTATGATCCTTCAAATTTTGAAATTTAACTAGTTGTGATCTTCTTGGAAAGACCATGGTTAGTTAAAATTTGAAAGTTGAAGGAGTACAGATGGTCAATTTGAAGGTTTAGAACTAAACGTGACAAAACCACTATATTCGAAGGATCTCAGATGGTATTAACTCATGAAATTAATTACGACCCCAAAGAGCAAATTACAATGACTCCATGGTGTGTTCTTTGTGCGCACCGATATTTAATTCTGTCTGTTGAGTCATTGAGTTATCGTGATTTACATCATTTCAAATGCCGTGTGGATTCTTATGGTGGGCCATTTGGATGGGGAGAAGTAGAAATGGTTGCTCCTCATTAATTTTCTTATTGACAATGAGATGAAGGGACCATTATTGTGCGTTGGATTACAAGTGGCTGGGTTTGGTCTGATTTGGTTGAATTGGTCTCCCACTAGGGACTAACCCCATTTCCTTATTTTTACCAAACCCACACCTAGTGTCATTTGACTTTTTTTTAACCCAACAAATAAAAAATAAAAAATAAAAAATTACAACCACTATCTCAGAGTATAAGATAAATTTCAGTCTTTTATAATAACAAGCAATCACATCAAGACAAATAAATTAAATCATACTATTAAAATTCTGTGCGACAAACTTGACTAAGAATGTATTGACAAAAGTCGAATTCGTGATTATTTATCTTTTATTACATGATAATTAGTAAAGCCCTACTTCAAAATCAAACTTATTTAATGTGGGGAAACTTCATCTGAAATTTTGGACGTGATTGTTACAAGTTGCATGCAAATTTATTTTGTGAAGGTAGTGTTCACATGACAAGTAGATTCATACAACCCATAAAGTGAAATTAAAGCCATAAATAGAATAGGGAACCGATCGGAATTTCAATTTCAAGTTGATGAAATATTGGATGATGATAGCCTAATTCAATAGGTCAAATCTAATAAACTTGCAGATAAGGATGACAATTCAATCCAATTAAATGGAGAAATTCAATTCTTGTCCAACCCTGATCCTGAATTCCTAAAATACATATATATTATAGAGTTAATTTTATTTTTGATCTTAGATTTATAAATTCAGTTCATTTTTACTTTTTTTTTTAAAGCATTCATATTTGATTCTAGTATTATGGTGGCATGATTATTTTTTTATCCTCAGTCAACAAAACTATTTAAATAACATTAAATACAAAAGCATTTTGATATATTCAGTTTTAAGTGTTAAGACATTTTTTTGGTCCTAGATTTATATGTATCATTCCATTTTTAGTCTTTTTTTTTTTTTCCAAAACATCCATGTTGGTCCTAAAAGTATACCAACACCTATTAATCTAAGAACAAAAAATGAAATTAACTCTATATTATATTTACATAATTATATGTAATATACTAATATTTATATATGAATTATTTGGATTTTATTTTTTTTGAAGTTATGTTTGGATATTTGAAATTTTGAACACAAATATTTTGGCTAGGACTTACATTTGAACAATTTGAATCTTTAAGTATTATTTAATATTTTAAAGATAATTGGATGTTAGGCTAATTGAATATTTAAATATATATAAATTTGTAAATTAATTGTATAAGTTAAACAATATATTATTTTATAGTATATACTAAAAAAACCGGGACATGTATAAAGAATTTGTATTAAAAAATCAAGAAGGAAAATTCCCATCTCCAATAAATCCCGTAGGAACAAGGATGGGGTAATCCCCCAATCCTATTCCTTGCACCCGCCCAATTGTTATCCCTACTTACAAAAACAGTGGTCCTAACTTAGAAACCCATATTTAATTGCATGCGAATGGTAACAACATTAAATACCATCAATGACATCGCACATGGAAGTGATGGAACTGCCACTGCAACATAACATATGAGGCATCACTTAAAAACCCTGAATTATTATATGACACTAGATTTTTGAGATATAAGGCATCACTTGAAAACCCTTAATTTGATGATTATATAATGCTTAGAATTTTGAGAGAGTCTTCTAATTATACTATCACCTTTATTAAGACTCTATGTATTTGAGTCAGTTTATAACTTCTTATCCCAGTAATCATGTGACTCTTCCTTGTATATATTCTCATTTTCTGTACTCTTGATGATGATTTACATTCAATACAATTTATTCAGTTCTCATCATGTTAATAATATTTACTAGTTATACATAACTACATATTATTGTGACTTATGCATACTAAAACTAATACTCCAAATTAACTAAACCCTAAAATCCATCACAAGCAATTTGATAACAGTTCCTCCGAATTAGTTAAAAATCGAATATTTCTCTATCCAAAGTATAAAATGAAAACGACAAACAATTCTATATTATTAATGGGTTTAAAAGAGGACCTATATGCATTCATTACCCATTATACTATAATATTTGCCATGTCATATAAGAGACAAAAGGTGAATAATAGAAAGATTATTTATGTCATCTCCATCCACAGAAACTTCATAAATCATAATGTCGTTTAAATATCGAATATTTTCTTGTTTTTACACAAGTGGAATTTAACAGAGGCAAATAGGCAATCCAACATATAATAATTTTTCCAATGCACTCACCTATGCACAAGTAGACTGAACATTATCTCTCTTATGTAAGACCGTCTCGTGTAAATTTTTTTTAAGTTAAAATATAATACTTTTCTATACACTTATAAAAAGTATTACACGTCTTATAGTGAGACAGTCTTACAAAAGACTTGTTCTTATCTCTTCTCTCAAGTCCAATCTCACGCACACTCAAAACAGACTTTACGCAGAAATAGTGAATCCTGCAAAGTACAAACTGCGAGATACATACTCTTCTCCTAAAAAGTTGAATCCCTGCGAGATGCATACTCTCTAAGGTGGAATGTAGAAGGAAAAACAGTTCAACGTTCCGCCTTAGAGGGTATACATCAATATAACAATTCGACAAGGGCGGCCAACTATATATTTATTTGATAGGAATTGAAGGACAACCATCCATATTACAATGTTAGAGAGTTACTACTACAAGGGGAAGAAAGTGATGAAACTATGGCAAAGGGTATAAATATACAGCCACTTCCTAACCCCACCTCTCTCCAGCTCTTTATTTCTTGCCTAGAATACCCAAGCTTTTGTCATACTAGGCTGTCAGTTAAGGGTTATCCTATGCTAAAGTCTATGGGTTCTTGTCGCCTTAATACTATGGCTACTTATAATGTTTAGTCAAGTTAAGATGGGAGAAAGGAACACTTCCCTTTGTTTTCAGAACTCCCAAGATCTCTGCTCCGGGTTATTCCTGCCCAAAAGCCGCCCTGACCATTCGCTGTTGGTTCTGCATTTTGAGAAGAATATCCAGTCGTCTCCATGTCAGCATGCTGTGAATGCCTTGAATACAAGGGAGAAGGAGAGGATGAGGAAGATGCGTCGGAATCTGAAGAATTTCTCCAAAAGCCTCCAGGGTCGCCAGATATTTCAAAATAGTCGTCAATGCTTACAGAATCCCTGTGGCTACTGTCTGTGCTCGAACTAGAAGTACCAACCTCAGAAAAAAGAGATGATGAATTGTCGTCACTCAGATAGTCATCACCTTCAAAAATATCCCAAGAACTCATCTCAGATCTAGGTTTACGGTTCAGATGTTTTAATCTCCTTGCATCATGGGGAATTGACAACTTCTTTATGGATCTTGTGGCCCGTGGAGAGCACCTAGATGACAAAATCATGCCGGGTATAAATTCAATCAAAAAGAAATGAATGCTTCAGCTCGGGGAAAAAACAAAAAATTAAAATGATTTACCTAGCATAGAGAAGTATGTATGCCCTCTCTGACAAGACACTTTCAAGTTTAACAGCTTTTACCTAGAACCATATTTCAAAGCCAGAAATATCAATGAGTTTAGTGAAGCTGGTCTTGGAATATTTCGATATAGCACGCTCAGAGCAGAAAAGGAAGACCATTCAGCATAGAAATGAAAGATAAAAATCCATAAATTACATAACAAAACAATTTTAAGAAGTGCAATATAAAGTGAAATTAGGATGACAAATGCACTAATTTTGATGCTTTAAAGAGGAACATAATAACATACCGTGCTGTCATCAACTCTGAACCACTTGTTTTGAAAATTCTTCACATAACAAATGTAGTGACCAGAAAATGCAGCATTCATAACATCCAAATGAACTATAACTCCATAGAGCTGGTAAATTGGTGACTTGTCGCTCGTTCCACTCATGTATGGGGCCAAATTCAGAATTTCAGGAAATGTTACCGGCTTATTCAGCTTGCCAAATTTACCTGACTGTTTTACAATTTAAAATTGAGCATGCACTAAATACAGAGAGAATAAAAAGAAACAGCTGATTCAAGGGAGTTTACCTGATATCTCTTCAAGGTAATAGTAAGGACATTAGGGGCCTCCAGCACTTTCATCTTCTTTCTAGCCTTTTCATAGGATTTGCATCTGATTAAAATAATGCAAAATTATTCTTCTTTCTAGCCTTTTCATAGCAAACAAAATCCTACTAAACAAGCCAACTAGGTTAAAATTAAGTCTTAAGAGAACCGTGAGCACATATTTTCAGGAACAACCAACAAAAGATCTTGGCAATTACTTAAAGAAACCATAGTTGCACCATACAGTGATTTGTGAAGTTAAAATTGCTGTTAGTGAAAAAGGTAACAGATGGAAGTATTAAAAGAGTTTCTAATTTGCAAAGTGATGTACCACTCAGAAAAAAAAAAAAAATTAAAATTAAAAATTAAAAATTAAAATAAATAAATAAAAACCTGAATTGTGTTCTATGATGTAAATGCATATAATAGATATTGATGTAAATCAGTCTTGACTACCTGCTGCAGTGGTACTTGTTTTCACCATCTAACACCTCAGTGCGTGAGAATTGTTTTAGAGCCTCTTCCAGAGTTACAACATCTCCATATATCTCAACTATAAGGTCCATCATTCTTTCATGCTTCTCAGATTTGCCTCCACACCTCATGCACTCAATCTGCCAATTAAATTAGTGAATAATATTATAAAAAGGGAATTGTGCTTGATATGCCAGATTTTGAAACATCTGTCAACTCCAAAAAGACTAAGAATTACCTTTGAGCGGAGACAGCCTCCAAATGTAAGCCCAATTAGAGTTGTTTCCTCTTCCAAAGATCCTGATACAGTGACTCCTACTTCCTTCAAGCAAACAGATTGCATGGTGTCAATGACATACCTGTAATAGCAATCATTGTCAATATCATCAGAAAGCAAATGCCACGCCCTCAAAAAATTAAGAGCCATTTTTACCTGAGAAACTCATGAGCATCTTCTTCTTGCCCATTACCAAGATTGCTCCCAATGTTCTCCAAATGGGAAACTATTCGGATTGGGGAGAGTGGAGAATTTCCCTCCTTTGCTTTTAGAACTAAACTCTCTAATTCACAGGTGAAGCACCATCCTTCCTTCCTGCCTAACATATAATAGACCAGGAAGAGAGAAAAAGGAGGGAAGGAGGAGTTACAAGAAGATACAACCGAAAGCTGATAATTTATTTTCACGAGTGAAAATTGATAATCAATCACCCTAAAAAAAGACCATTGACCAGAAACTTACATCCTTTTGAATGAAGTCCTTGAAGAAAATAAGCAGTGAGAGGCGGAGTAAATGCCAAGCACTGGAGGACAGCATTAGCATAACAGCTGCACCATGTTAAAAGTTGTTAAATGTTTGGGAGCAAGAATGTAGAGAACATAATAAATCATTGACCAGTTATCAAAAACATTATATTGGAGGGTTAGACAGGGAGCATAGGCTTGTACAAATACAAAACAGAGTAAGCATCCATAGTGCAAAAATTTGCTGCTGCAAATTGATATTAAATTAAGATACAATATATTTTAGTGAGTGTATGGTCAATCATGTGCATTCCTGGATGAACATAGAAACCAGTGAAGTAGATAAGAGAGTAAAATCACAAATAAGATACTGACTGATGTTTCTATAAGATCATATGAAGTAGAATTAGAAGAGCCCAATGTGCAATTTCATAATTTGTTAAGTGTTTTATGGAGAATCTAAGCAGCTGATAACCAAATCCACATGCAGAGCTCAGCATACCTATTCCCACAATTTGAGAGGCCAAATGGATGCAGTTCAACCTTGCTCCAATCGTAAAGCTTTACAAACAACTCATATGGAAATATACCCTGTAAAAATGGCATAATTAAAAAAAAAATGCTTTACATCTGGGATTTTGTGCATATAATAATAAAATGTAGAGGAAAGCATAAAACTCTACCTTGCCATTGTATCTTCCTGCAATTTCACTCCAGGCTCCTAAGGAATTACAGGGTGGCAACTTCAAATTTTTTAATTGGTCAATAACCTCCAAGCCTATTTTACAATTTTGTGAATCATTTCCACACTCTGATGAGTGAGCAGTAACCTGCTGTGTGCTGTCATTCTTTATGGACTTCATACTTCTAAACTCATGACTTTCAATGCTGGAAGATGGATGACCAAAATAAGCTGTTGCAGGGAGAGATTCAACCTGTAGGGCTTTTGGAGTATGTGAGATATTGTTTATGCCTTCAATACCACCATTTGACTCTCTCAGCAAGCCATTCACCTTTAATGTGCTGTTACTCGCTAAATGCAGCATTGGGCAAGCATGTGAAGCAGTAAACAAGGGATGACTAGTTTCCATAGAATTCAAAGTACATTTTTCATTGGGGTAATTGATTTCAGTTTTGGTAGGTGTTTCAGGCTTCAAAGGTGATGACCTTCTGAACTCCATAGTATCTTTAATTTGCAACAGTCCAGCTGAATCATTTTGTTTCCTTACTTTTGATATTTTTGATCCAGGACCATCCAAATTTATTGATTGTGCTTGGCAGGATTGCTCATCCACATCAGGAAAGGCAGCTTTAGTTATTTCTGAAGAATGGTACGGAGATGACCGAGAACCTGACATATTGATGTCAACACTCTCTTTGGGACTAGGATGGGGAACATCCTTTGCTACATACATTTTAGATAAGCCATAATTAGCCGCTCCTTCCCAAAAGCCACAAGAGGATGAATTATGCCCCAAAGATGAAGACTCACCAGAGCCAATACTTGATATTCTTGAACCTGATGAACTTGACTTTATATCTTCAGATCCAGGCTTTATATGACTAGATCTACTTGAAGTAGAAACAGCATTAATAGACCTGATCAGGGTGGGCTGCTCCAAAGAAGGTAGCTTACATTGTTCCATGTTGGGCTGACAAGTTTGAGTCTGAACAGAATCATCTGAATCACTGACAGATGTACTAGATTTACTTGATGTGGTGGTGGAAATTGAACAAACCGAAAAGTCAGAATCTGAATTTGAGGTTGTTTCATCAGTTAGATGATTTCCTTCCATGGCATCCATCCCATTTGATATGCCAGACATACTGGATTTTGATAAAACAGGCTCTGCAGAGACATTAATTGGTAAGGGAGACTGTGCGCCTTCATCCTCAATACCATTAGCAAAACTTTCATTTGCATTTTGCTTAAACGCCTTTGAGTGACAAGTTTCATCACTACTCTGATGATTGCAGTTGAGAACCAGATGGCACTTATCTTTGTGACCCTGCCTCCAGTGGATGATTTGACATTTGCCAGAACTGAAACATTTGGTCTAAACGTAAGCATAATAATACAAACACAACAGAAAGCAATGCAGCAATATGAACACAAAAATGTACTAATTGTTACCATAAGAGGATTAAAAAACACAAATCTTTAGAAAGTAAACATTGTCTAAATGGTATCCAGCATCATAGTAGTGGCAGCATCTTCAATTCAAATTAAATTCTTTCAACAATTAATCCATTTAAATAATTTACAGTAATAGGACTATAGGAGCAAAATACATGTTGGACATCTATGTGCAACCAATTCCATGAATTAATACTACTGTTTTAACCTGCTTCAAAACTTGCGCATACGGCATACAGCTTTCAATAATAATGTTATGACTTAGAGAAATGAATTCAGCTGCATCCATTAATTGTTAATGACCTATTAATAAGAAAATAAAACCCAGCAGCCCTAGTATATTGATGTTTTCTTGCTTTACTGTCTGGTAAACCTTATTATAAAGCCAATTATATATTAGGAAAAAAAAAAAAAAAAACACAAATCTTTAGAAAGTAAACATTGTTGTTAAGAGTACCACTTAGATAAAATAAGAGAAAACATATGGGTTATAAGGCCATGAGTTAGACTAGCTAATTGGTTGGATTCAATTTTTTAGTGTGGTTTGGCCCATGTGCATTATAGCCCAATTTGTCTTTTATTATTTGATAGTGCTTTTAATACACATAGACAATTGAATTGTAAACAATTTGAGTCAAGTCATGTTAAACGAACCAAGACCCCAACCTTTCATAACTAAAATAGAGATCTAAAAGTTCTTTTTATGATAAGGCCACTCAATCTCCCAGTCTCCCACTACTAGATACATTTGCTTTCAAATAGGAGGCAAGCTCCCTGTTCTTGCCTTTGTAATGCTTGATTTTATTCAATAAAATTTATGGTTTGCAAATTTATTTTGAAAAAAAAAACACACACACACTCCAATCTCTATGCCCACAATAAACATGCTGCCTGATAAACCAACTGACTAGCTGAAGCTAGAGAATATTGCACGATATGTGGTTCGATAATAGATAGTCTCTATGTCCTTGTTTGGTTAACTATCTAGCCTGTGATTTTCAAGATTCCTTCCATAGAAACAAGCTATTACAACACAAGTAAATCAATCATTCATGGCAACAAATAACTACAAACTCTTTTTTATAGCTACAAAATTACTACGGAGTTACAATAGATAAACAAGTGTACAAACCAAATGTCACATCAGAAGTTAACCTATCACCTATAGCAACAAATATCTGCAACTTTTATATTATTAAAGTATTAAACACTAGTATCTGAGCACACAGTCTCATGTAATAGAGAAATGTAATTATAATGTAACATTCCCAGTGCTTTTTTCCCTTTTCCCATGGATTGTTATTTTTGGAACTTAAATCATGATCAACAATTAAATCCAAAGTAATGGATCAGAATTTTGTCACAACAATCATCAAAATTACTGGTAGGCATCCAAACCGAACAAACCAAAATTGAAATGGAAAACGACTCAAATTGAACAACCCAAACCGAAACAGAAAGCAGTGGTTTGGTTTCAGATTGGTAAGGTTCTTAGCTTACCACTAATAAAGGATCTATTGCCAAAGTCACACTTCCATTTGATTTCATGCCAGCTTAACATATGATCTAAAGACTAATCCAATTTCAAAGCGCACAACTTAAATATTGCAAAATCCTCAATTCAAATCGCCAATTCTGACATTAGCTTGTGTCCATAAAACCACTAACAAAAAAAAAAAAAAAAAAAAAAAAATCATCAGTTTTACGGGATAGGTTTCAGAATAGCCATACCAATATCGAACTGCTTTACACCGTGAACACTTTGCAGACGCCGGGGAAAAGCACAACGCGCACTGGTACGGCAATTGCCGAGTAACCTGCACTGGGGACGAAGCGGAAGCCAATACAGGGACAGTCGTCGGAGCACTAGCCGGAAGCTCCTCCTCTAACACAGAGCCGTAGCTATAGCCATAACTAAACCCGGAGGTGTACTCGGCAGCCGCCTCGAGCTCAGCCTTAGCAGCCTCCTCGGAGGCCAAAACCAAAAGCCGATTAATCTCATCCCTCCTGGCCACAACGCGCCGCCATTTACGACGCACCACAACCCCAACCACCGGCCCTAAGAGCACCACAAACACCGCCGCCGCCGCGCGAAAGAAAAAAACTAGATCTCCTCCCACGAGCATTTACACAAACTACTCAACACCACAGCTGGATCACATCCCACCCCCCGTTCTTCCAAAGTCATAGATTACAATTTGCACCTTTCTCCAATCGGAAAAAAAGCAAAAACTCAAACGCAAATTCAGTAGAATCAGAACGGCGAGATCAAACTCACCGGCGATCGCGTCCCATATACACGAGGAAGTGCTATGCTTTTACAGGGAAAAATGTATAATGTTAAGCAGAGAAAGAGGTGACGCTTGGCGATGATGCTATAAGGAGAAATGGAGATTCTGATACCTGACCCCCATGATCTTTCAGATCGAGAATTTAGGGAAGATTTTACAGAGAGAAAGTGATTAGTTAGAATAAATTCGTTAATTAACTAATTAGCCTCCGGGGAGGAAATGGATTAAAGTATTTCGTACCGTAAATTAATCTGTTGGAGTGTGAGAGCGATATACGGAGTCCATTGTCGGGGGAAAGGAATTCCTATATTCCTTACTATTTCTTCTACCGAATCTTAGGGTGTATTTGGTTGGTGGTTTTGCACATAGGAATGTGTATGAAAGTGATTGTTTTTGTTTAGTTGATAGATTTTTGGCAAATTATATCATGCATCACGCTGCATGATCAATTATGCACCGCGCGTTCTTTTTTTTAAATGAAAAGAAACGGTGTTTGTTTTCTGCCGTTTCGCACCTTTTTGCAAAAAGTAACCCTGTTATTCAGTGTCATTTTGTATACACTGCAGTTTCAGTTCAAACACAACTACAGTTTCATTTCGATATAACTATAGTTTCATTCGATATTTATAGACTCAAATATGTGAAAATGTTATTTAATTTTATTTTACATACACTATAGTTTCATTAAAACACAACTACATGATCATTTTGATATAATTACAGTTTCATTGTACAATATACATTCAAATATGTGAAATGTTATTCAGTTTCATTTTATATACACTGCAGTTTCATTTCACTATAACTACAGTATCATTTTGATATAACTGCAGTGTCGGTTTAGATATACTGTAGTGTCAGTTGGTGTTGAATACACCAAACAAGCGGACTCCGTTAACTATAACGGCGGGTCGTTTTTTTACTTAAAGAAACGGCGCCGTTTTTGTGCACCGCGGTCTATGATATACCGACTCTAAGTTTTTAGAACACTACTATGGGTTTCGAATACTCCATCAATTGAAAAACTCATACCCAAATAAAATAAGGGTTTCATTCCCTTATTCATTCTCAAGCACTACTATTAGTAACCATTCACATTCCACCCTACTACCAAACATGTTAATTTACTTTCACCAAAACTCATTACCATTAGTCTATTACCAAATATTTGATACCAATTCTGATTCCTATGTGCGAACCAAACACACCCTTAATCTCTTCTCTCAAATATTACTTACTGAACTAGTAAATTAAGCTTGCAAGAACAAAAATCTTGATCCTTCCCTCTTATTACCAATCACCTGCAAATGTAATAGCCCATTCCTTGAATGAGCTATCCTATTCTATAAACAAAAAAATCAAAAACAAACAATGAAATAGGTTTATTCGCAGAAATGTTGAATGAGCTATCCTATTCCATGAACAAAAATTTCAAAAACAAATGATGAAATATGTCTCTATTCCTATAAATGTTATTCCATTCGTGACCTAATATATAAACCAAATATGCTCTAAGGCTATGTTTGGCAATCGTAGCTGAAAAGGTAGATGAAAGCTGAAAAGGAGTTGAAAGCTGAAAAACTATAAGCCAAGAGCTAAAAATTGAAGAGTTGTTAAGCTAGCTGTTATGTTTGAAAGTGTTTGATAAAATTAACTTTTTGATAAGTTGATAAAGGTAAAAAGACAAAAAAACTATTAGTATAATCATGATCTAGCATTCCATAATGAAATAACAATATTGTTGTGAATCTCCTTCATATAATAATAATAATAATAATAATAATAATAATAATAATAATAATAATAATAATAATAATAATTGCGGTGAAAGTAAAGGAGAAGAGAAAAGAGTTTTAATTAAGAAGTATAAATGATGTTATTTCTGTAAAATAATAAAAACAAAGATGGAAAAAAAAAAGTTAGGAAGCTAATATATTATTTTGAACCTAAGGGAGCATTCCAAAATAAGCTCTTATTTTAAGCTACGAGTTTTTTTTGGGAACACTACCAAACAAAGCTTATATTTTATTAGTAGCTTAAAATATATAGCTCATAAATAAGTTATGCCAAACATAGGCTCTGTTTGGAAAACCTAGCTGAAAAGCTATAAGCTAGAAGCTGAAAGCTGAAAAGGAGCTGAAAGCTGAAAAGCTATAAGCTCGGACCTGAAAACTGAAGAGTTGTTAAGCTAACTGTTATGATTGAAAGTGTTTGGTAATATTAGCTTTTTGATAAGCTGATAAATGTAAAAAGACTAAAAATGACATCTTCATAAAATTTAAATTAGTTTGTTTACATATTAAAATTTAACATTTTTTCTTTAAAAAAAAAATTAACCATTTTGAAATAAAGCTATTAGCATAATCATGATATAGCATCTCATAATAAAGTAGCAATATTGTTGCAAATCTCATAATATTAATAATAATAATAATAATAATAATAATAATAATAATAATAATAATAATAATAATAATAATAATAATAATAATATTTGCGGTGAAAATTGCGGATAAAGGAGAAGAGAAAAGGATTTCAATTGGGAAGGGTAAATTATGTCATTTCTTTAAAATAATAAGGATAAAGATGGAAAAAAAGTTAAGGAAGTTAGGAGCTTATTTTGAAACGCTACCTATTGTAGCGTTCCAAAATAAGCTCTTACTTTAAGCTAGGAGTTTATTTTGGAAACATTACCAAACAGAGCTTATAGCTTATTAGTAGCTTAAAATAAACTATAAACTCCTAAATAAGCTCTGCCAAACAGAGCCATAGCCTAAATCTTTTAAAGCAACCTTAACTAAATTGGTTAAACTATTGTAACTGCAAATTTGTCTTTGTGACTTGAAAAATACAAAATTTTATTTACCTTTCACTAGATTCTAGACATTTGTAGTCAAAATGTAGTGTAAATTTAATCCCTTATGGGTTGTTTGATTGGGAGGAAGGAATTAGGAAAAAGAAAATTGTAATTCGATGGGAAAAGAATAAAGTAGGAATAATATAGGAATTCAAATTACATTATTTGGTATGGAAGAATAGAATTATTAGGGGTGAGAATGAAAAATGTGATATAAAGACTAAAATATCATTGTGTAATAATAATAATAATGACAATCAACAAGGATATTTTTGTCATTTCTTACCCTTTTTCCTTTCCCAAAAGCATTGAATTGTAATTCATGGGGTTACCCCATCAATTACAATTCAACAAAAGGAGATAATTGCAATTCCCTCCAACCAAACACTGTAATTGAAGCTTTAATTGAATTACAATTCAATTACAACTAAATTTCATCCAACCAAACACTCCCTTAATTCATAGGAGACTTTTACACTGATTGGATGGCATCGTAGTTAGCAATTATCTTCTTCTATATCTAAAAAATTTACACTCAAAATTAATTAAAATAATAAATTTACACAATTACACCATAGTCGTGACTAAAGAATACAAATTATTCATTTTCATTTAAAAATAGATTTCAATTCTCATGTCAATTTTATTTCAATTACCATCCAATTAAGTCTAAATTTTTGACATTTTTTTTTTAAAAATAAAAATAAAAACTAGGACTGGGCCTAATGGCAGGGCCAATGGCCTGCTACACCCAACCACGGAGTCCATGTAATATTGGAGTGGGCTATGGCCCAAACCACATGCTAACTCATGGGACCAAAATTAATATTTGCTCTTTGTGTTAATATTAAGTGAAGTGCAATCGTTATGGCAATTTATATCGTGCACCAGGGCACGCATGCATTGTGCGACTTGATGCAAAACGACATCGTTTTACATAATTGTATAAACAAATACATATAATTGTATAAATAAATACACATAATTGTATAAACATATACACATAACTGTATAAAAAAATACACATAATTGTATAAATAAATACACATAATGATATAAACAAATACACATAATCACGTCAACGGTCAACCTCCTTCCGCGCGTCTCAAAATGACGTCGTTTTGATAAGTTGTGTGGGGAGTCGACGCGACATAGTGTATGTGTATTATGTTATATAATTATGTACGTTATGTTATACAATTATGTACATTCTGGTATACAATTATGTACATTATTTTATACAATTATGTACATTCGAACACACGATTTTTTTTTAACAATTAAAAGTTTATGTACATTCTCATATACAATTATGTACATTTTAGTATACAATTATGTACATTTTCAAAACATGAATTTTTTTTTTTAACAAGCTAACAGTAAACAGGGAAAAGTGAAATTTTCAAAAAAAAAAAAAAAAAAAAAGTGTCGTTTTGCATCAGGGCGCACATTGCACACGATATAAATTGCCAACGAAGTGCATTTATATTTTGAATCAAAATGAGTAGGCAATGAATATGGGCAAATTATTATGTGGACCGTGGTCCACACAGTGCTGTATGAACCATAACAAAAAGTACATTTTTAATATACTAAATGTACGTTATTTGTGTATTGAATGTACATTATACAATATAATATACATTCAGTACATAAATAATGTATATCTTGTTAATACAATGTACACTTTTACTATACTAAAAATATATTATTTTTATACTGAATGTACATTATTTTACAGTATACAAAATATAGTCCATAGAATAATGATAGATGAATATGCAGGCATATCAAGATGAGCATGAAGACTTGTAGAAATGTATGTACATGTTTGTATTGAAAGATAAAAGAAAAATACACAAATGATTGATTACTATTGTTCCAAATATGATTCTTCTATGGAGTATTTTTTGTCTTGTGACATATTTTTTCAACCAACTCATTAGGATCATCGAGACTAATCTTATCACACTCTCTTATAAGTTTTAAAATATTTTTTTTTTTTTAAAAAAAACCCACGACATCTCATCCTTTTACTTTCAAATGTGTGTTAAATTCACACATTCATACAAACAATATTTTAACAACATACAATACACACCATACTTATTATAAAATATATATATATATATATATATATATATATATATATATATATATATATATATATATATATATTTTTTTTTTTTTTTTTGTTTTTCCCTAGTAAAAACGACTTAATTTTGATGAATTTGTAAAATATTACTGCAAATGAGATTAGTAGGTATGAATGTATTTATTACAATAAACAAAGCATACTTGTTAGTGCATCGTCCCGGTAGACCGGTATCATATTAGTATATTAAAAAATAAAATACTAATATGACCCACTCTTATAATAATTTTTAAATTTTAATCAACATGTAATACTTTTTATAAATTTATAAAAAAAATCAAAATATACTCAAAAAAATATTCTGCAAACTTTCAGATAAGATCAAACTTGCAAGCTATATGAACTGTTAGTCGTGAAAATGATTGCAAAGCCAGAACGATAAACTGATTGCTGGATTGAAGTAGACGTAGCGAAATCTGGAATTCTAAAGAAGTTAACGTGACAGTGAAACTCGATCGATCACGACAGTCCAATCATATCACCATGGCACAGAAACTCCGGTGTGTGATCGTCGCCGTCGATAGCAGCGAGGAGAGCATGAACGCGTTGAAGTGGGCCCTAGCAAACCTCAAGCTCCAGTCCTCCTCCTCCTCCGCCGCCGCCGAGGAAAACGGCTGCTTGGTCATCCTTCACGTTCAATCTCCGCCGTCAATCGGCGCCGGCATCAAACCCGGCGCCATCCCTTTCGGTGGACCCAGTTAAGCTAAGCTGCTTTGCTTTAATTGAATTTGGATTTTCGGTACTTTTTGGTCTAATTTTCGTGATCAACTATACTGATACTTAGAGATTGCCAGGTGATCTCGAGGTTCCCGCTTTCTCCGCCGCGATTGAAGCGCACCAAAATCGCATCTCTCAAGCTATCATCGATCATGCTCTGAAGATTTGCTCCGATAAGAATGTAAGGATCCGTATGCGTTTGTACACACACACACACACACACACATATATATATATGTAATTACATCTGTGAGTAATTCGAATAAACAAAATTCTTCCAAAATTCGGATTCAATGTCCTTTTCTTTTCCGGCAAGCTAAGTGCAAGATTGAACTGACTTGTTTATCATCCAATAATTTGAGCTGTGATTTCTACTAATTTCTTTGTGCTATTGCCTGATTGGGAGAGTTTATTATTTCTAGGTAGATGTTAAGACTGAAGTGGTTGTTGGGGATCCAAAGGAGAAGATATGTGAAGCTGTTGAAAAATTTAATGCTGATTTACTGGTAATGGGAAACCGTGGATTTGGTCCAATTAAAAGGTAAAAGATCTCTTGAAATTTGATTCTATTGCTGATTATTGATATTGATCTGTCTAGATAATTCATCCAATTTGGAATTTGATTCCATTGTTGATTAGTAATCTGTTTAGATTAGATAATTGAAGTGGGAGTCAATCCTCTGATCTTTAGCTTTGCAGAGTTTCAATACAATTCGTTTCTCCAGTACTCTTGTGCTAGCTAGTAGATGTAAAGCTAATATTAAACCAGAAGGGATAACTCTAAAATAAATTACTAACTTAATTGCTCCTTTGTTCCTTGCAATATTGAATGATATTGAGGCTTGTTTCACAGAAAGGAAAGAAAAGTGATGAATAATGAAACGACTTTTGTGAATATTTATGTGATCAATTTTGAGTACAGTAGATATTTCATGATACCTACTGATGAAAAGGATTCTTTAAAAAGGATATTCCTAGCATATTTATCAATGTAAAAGAAAATGTTTGCAAATATTTTTTTATTGTAAGGAATTAGGGCACTGTTGTGCTAAGATTCAACCAGATTGAAGTGATTTGTTTGCTTTATATACTTAACCAATTCATGATATTATGATTCTTTTTTGGGAAATTTGGAATAGGTTTTCATTCTTGCTTCCCTTGGTGTATATTTTTGACCTTCTTCAAGGTGTGTTGTTGACTGGTTGTGCTTTAGAGTTGAACTTAAAGTAGAAGAATATAATATTAGTGAAAAGTTTAATACACAAGTAGCTTTCATAGCTCAGTTGGTTAGAGCACCCGTTTAGTAAGCGGGAGGTCTTGAGTTCGACTCTCAATGAAAGCAAAACACATTTTCCTCCATATTTTCCGTTCTTACAGATTGTTTTACTACTGAACACATGACACCTCAATTCAAACATACATACAGGATGTTTCTGGGAAGTGTGAGCAACTATTGTTCAAACCGTGCACAATGCCCAGTCATGATTGTTAAAGATCCCCAGTGATGAAAGGGCAGGGTATGTATAATGTATTCTTTCTTTCAGGCTTTCCTTTAATTTTCTCCACAGATCTCATCTGCTTCACATCTTAATTGGCCGGTTATTAAATTCATTATAACACCATAATGTGTGGATTCATGGCAATATAATGTTACGTTAGTGTATCGATCAATAATATTTATAGACATATGTCTATGCAATAATATATATAATACTTGTGGATAGACAACCCTCAGGCCTTAGTCACAGGTTCCTTGGAGATCTTGATGGCTTTTTTTTTTTTTTTTCTTTTTTCTCCCCATTCTTCCAAGTTTTTCAAGTCTTAATAGCTCGATCACATTGTTCTTTTTCTATTATTTTGGTTGATTCACATGAAATGTTGAATCGTTGATTGAAATCATTAAATTACATATTATTTTTTATCGTCTAATTTCCATCTCCGATCCCTTTCTCTTGTTGCTATATATTTTATAACATTTTAATCTTCTCCGTCCTAGGTTTCAAACACAAGTTCTAGTCTTGTTTGGATTGTGCGAAGGGTAATACCCTATGTGGCTATGTCAAGATCGAACATGCTGGTCCGCCTCGTGCCTCAGCCCGAGCCCGAGCCCGGCTGTCAAAAAGAATTGGCATATATATATGCAATATGCAATGATTGGCTGTTAGTGTTACTCTGTTGTTATTTGCAGTGTTTTTGTATGAGTTTGGAAGAAAATATCTAGGAGGTTTATATACTTTTGATGTGTGGTGTGTGATGGTGAAAATTTGAAGCAGATTCTTTAATTTCTGCGTTACTACAGATAGATGATGATCGATCATTCATCGGATTCTTTGTATCTGAAGCATATATATTCATGGTTTTGGGGATCCGGTAACTTTGAGTCAGTTTTAAGATCAATAATATGGTGTTTGAGGAGTTTGTGGTCCTTTCATTCTGCACAACAATATATTTTAATTTTTTTGTGAATTGACAGGAATGACAGCCATGCATTATGGGAATCAATTAATGCCGTACATTCGCATATGCATGCATTTTGTCATCTTTTGTTACCAACAATTTAAGTGTCAAACTAACTGCACCTTAACAGGGCGTTTAGTCGGAGATGGGGAATTACGTGAGAAAGGAATTATAATTCTATGAGAGATGAATTACTGAGAATAAAGTGAAAATTTAAATTCTAGTGTTTAGTTTACAGTAATAGAATTACTGAGAATTTCAATTCCAATGTTTAGTATACATGGGAATTGAAAGGGAATAAATAGTAGAAAATTAAAAATATTCATTGTTGTTGTTAGGCATTAATTTTAAGTTAAAAAAGGGAGGGGTAATTTTGACTCATCACTATCTTTTTTTTTTTTTTCTTAAAATCTCAGGAATTAAAATACTAGGGGGATGACATGAGATTTTAATTCCATGAAAATGAGGGAGTTGCAATTCCTTTCAACCAAACAAGGGAATTTTGTAACCTTTGAAATTAGGTGGGAATTAAATGAGAAGGGAATTTAAATTCCCCCATGTAAGTGTCGAATTGACGCATTTTAACGATTTTTATAATCTTGATAATAACTCGTAAATCATACATGAAAAGTAAATTACACTAAGAAGACATTGTGTTATGAACTCCATCGAAAATATATTAGCAAATTAAAAACCAAATTCATGATGATAAAAAAATCATGTTTTTCCGGTTCGGCCAATTAGGAGGAGGCAGGTTTACAGTATATGTTTAATGACAGAAAAGTACAAGCGTAATTATTGCAGTTGTTTACATTACAATTTTGAATTTTGATCTCATCCGTTGCATTTTGCGAGCCCGTGACCGACCGCATCCCGTGCATCTTGCTTATCGACAAATTACAACTTGCACCATATTCTCTTCTGTGTCTCGGTCTTTCTCTGTCCGTTTAACGGTCCAAGTCCACCCGATAAGTTCATTTGCCACTTGAGCTACCCTGTTGGATTACACCATATTTTCTTCTATCCTTTGTTCTTTCTTCCTCTAAAAAATTTTTTTTAAAAAAATCCTTTATTCTTTCTTCTTTTATAAATATATTTCTGAGTTAATTACCAAAATGGTCCTTTAACTATAGCGAAATTATTGATTTGATCATTGACTATTTTTTTTAACCAATTAAGTCCCTCAATTTTAAAAATCTTAATTAATTTGGTCATCCGTTTGTTTTGACATTGACATCCGTTAATTCGGAACCAAATTGATAATTTTGTTATAGTCAATGAACCATTTTGGTCATCACATGTACCATTTCTTCTGAAAATTTATTTATCAAAATGGTCCATTGACTATAGTGAAATTACTAAATTGGTCCCGAATTAACGAATTTTTAATAACAAAATAAACGGAGAACCAAATTGGTTAATATTTTTAAAGTTGAAGAACTTAATTGATCAAAAAAAATAGTCAATAACCAAATTAATAATTTTGTAATAGTCAAGCGACCATTCCGGTAATTAACTCTATATTTCTTGTTTCTAAACCTTTGAATAAAAGGTCCCAAACACTATATATATTTTACAACAATATAATTTAATTACAATATTAATCAATTAATTAATACATCACTTTAATTTTATTAGCAATTATTACACACCAACACAATGGATCAATAATAACAATGATTGGAAGCTACAGTATGAGTGTTAGGGTTAAAATTTCACTGGAAATATGTATGGAAAAAATGATGGAAAATCTGCATTGGATTTTTGTACGCACATAAAGACTAGGATTTGATTTGTAGATTAATTGCGCGACTCGCGATTTACACGGGTTTAAGATTAGTTTGGTGAGTGGCCTAAATACACTTTCATGTTACGTTCAGTGACCTATTTGTGACTAATCCCCACGCTGAATTGTAGGCACTTTTTTTTAATGGGACAGCTGGCTTAGAGATTTAAAGCTGCTCCATTCCCAAAGCCAATGATCAAACCCTTAACCATTAATTAAGGGTGAATAAGTCTCTTCCACTCAACCACACCCCAGGTTATTATTCGATAGATTAATGCTTCTCTGTTTTATCTGTACTCCCCAGTCTTTGTTTTCTTCTCATTCCTTGTTTTATGCATCAAACTATGACTTGCAGATTCACTTTTTTTTGGGGCCAAGTCCCACCAGCATTATTCAATACCAATAATTGAACACAAATATCCTCACGTGAACCCAAATGTTGAATAGACATGCTAATATAATAATGAATCATATCCTAATTAATCTTATTTATGTGGCACTGCAAAAAACATACATGATACATACATTATATTTCATAAATTTAAATTCACCTCATTATTGTTTTGTTAATATAATAATATACTCAACGATCGAATAAGTTATTAATGACACATCATGTAGTATAACTAGTAAAAGTTAGAGCAATAGTTCAGTAGACAGTATTTGAGAAAAAAGACTAAGATTCAAATCTCTGCCGTAAGATTTACATCCTCCTAAATGCTCTGTTAGGCAAGGTGTAGAGAGCCATAGAGTTGTGACCATCTTGACACCACACGCACCTGTCACGTTTCTCACTCCTACCCTCCACCTTAAGGCCAGAAAAAACACACACTCCTGCAACATACTCACTTTTCTCACTCCTACCCTCCAACTTAAGGCCAGAAAAAACTCACACTCCTACAACATACTCACTTTTCTCACTCCTACAATCCTACCCTCCACCTTACCCCGAAAATAATAATAATAATAATAATAATAATAATAATAATAATAATAATAATAAACAACCTTTTTTTAAGGCCAGAAAAAACTCACAATCCTACAACATACTCACTTTTCTCACTCATATTCTCCACCTTACCCAAAAAAAATCTCATAATAAACCGCTATTAGGATTTAGGGATGCTCTTACTATAAAATCTGATTTACTAGTAGAGATACAACCAATTGAGAAATATATTCACCATGTGAGATGATTGGCTTTGAAAAATATCTAAATCTATGAGTTGAGATGTAAGTAATCCCTAATTGTAGAGATACAACCAAGAATTACGTATCAAGACTGAAAAGTCCATAATATAGCTATACTCCCTAATCAATAATCCAAATAAAGTTAATAACTCTAGGTGGATTATAAGTAATTAAAACACATCTTGTAATTTATTTATCCATCTTGTAAAAGTTCACGAGATTGGAGTACAAAATTGCAACATAAGCTACTGCACTAAAGACATTATTTCTGGGTTTATGGAGGGTGAGGGAACACTTCTTCCCCTTGTATATATATATATATATTTAAGAACTCTCTTGTTTCATGCATTCTCATCATCATCTCAACACACATTCTTAGTTCTATCTAAACCAACTGTGCTGGGATTTGGCTAAGTCCAGCCCCAGCTACCATGGCTGCCTTACTCTTTCTGCCATTTCTTCTTCCTCTTCTTTCAAACACAGCCTCTGCAACTCAATTCTGTGCTCCAAACAAGGCTAATTCCGAGCTTTCTGTTATGCACATCTATGGCAAATGCTCACCCTTCAACAATCCCAACCCTACTTCTTCATGGCTCACTACTGTCATGAACATGGCCGTTAAGGACCCGGCGAGGCTCTCCTACTTGTCCAGCCTCACGGCCCTAAAGCCCAAGGGTAAGACCAATGTGCCCATTGCTTCGGGGCAGAACGTGTTGAATACTGGCAACTATGTTATTCGGGCTAGGATTGGGACTCCGGGCCAGGTCATGTATATGGTGTTGGATACTAGCAGTGATAATGCGTGGGTTCCGTGCAGTGGGTGTGTCGGGTGCTCGGAAACCGTGTTTGCCCCGAACACGTCGTCCACTTTCGGGTCGGTCGAGTGCTCCGTGCCCGAATGCAGTATGGTGAATGGGATGTCGTGCCCCACCGGTGGGTCGGGGGCTTGCAACTTTAACCAATCCTACGGCGGAGACTCCTCGTTCTTGGCCGCGTTGTCACGTGATGCGCTCGGGCTGGGCAATGATGTTGTGCCGAACTATGCTTTCGGGTGCATCAATGCAGTGTCGGGCTCGAAAATCCCGCCCCAAGGGCTATTGGGCCTGGGGCGGGGCTCCATGTCGTTGCTCTCGCAAGCCGGAGCTCTTTACTCGGGAGTATTCTCATACTGTTTACCCAGTTTCAAATCGTACTATTTTTCCGGTTCGCTCCGGCTTGGACCGGTGGGTCAACCCAAGACCATAAGAACCACTCCACTCCTCAAGAACCCACACCGTCCATCTTTATACTACGTAAACCTCACCGGTGTCAGTGTGGGAAAAATTTGGGTATATATTCCCCAAGAGCACCTAACTTTCGATCCAGCCACCGGAGCCGGCACCGTCATTGATTCCGGCACGGTTATAAGCCGGTTTGTCGAACCTGCGTACGTGGCAATCCGGGAGGAGTTCAGGAAACAAGTGACGGGCCCATTCAGCTCCTTGGGTGCATTTGACACATGCTTTGCAGTGACAAAGGAGTTCATGGCACCACCCATCACCTTCCACTTTCAAGGAATGGATTTAGTGCTTCCAATGGAGAACACCTTGATTCATACTAGCTATGGGAACTTGGCTTGCTTGGCCATGGCCGCGGCACCAAATAATGTCAACTCTGTGCTGAATGTGATTGCCAATTTGCAGCAGCAGAACCTTAGGGTTTTGTTCGATACCGTCAACTCTCGCCTGGGGATTACTCATGAAAATTGTAACTAATGTTAACAGTCAGTCATCCCAAATCCAAATATGATGCCCTGTGAACCCTTTTAGCCTCGTTATTTTTCTCCTAATTTGTGTGTCCACGTTACAGTTGTTGCAGTTTAATAAGAATGGCATGTTAAGCTGTGATTACTCTAATTCTCTAATTTTTCTTTCTTTCTTTAAATTTTCATAGGGATCCAAACTCAACATCTCTAACATGTATGATAATAATTTTCGACGACTAAATTGAACTCAAGAACATTACTGAACATTACCTGAAAACAAAACTTGGGGTTTTCAGAGTTTCAGCCTGCAGGTGAGTTCTTTGTATAGGACTGTAATAAGCTAAGTAACTAACCGAAACTCCAAAAGCAAAATGATTAGGCGCTATTTTGATCCAATACTTTACAGCATCATCTTGTTTTCAGAAGTGATTTGGTGAAGATCTGATTCTGATGCTGATCCATTTCTTTTAAGGGTTTGGATAGATTGTCCAGAATTTCTGCCATTGTCCAAAGTTTTAGGCTCATTTGTAATTTGAGTGCGGCGGCTCTCCCTCAAGAAGTTGATCCTGTTTCTTAGCTTGGACAGTGCGGTATTACCTCCCTGTCATTCACAAGTGTAAACAATAAACTTCAACATCTCAACAAATAAATGTCTTTCTAGTGCAACAAAGGAAAGTACATTTAGTTTATAGGGAATTGAAGGATGTGCCGTCTCAACTAAAAATTTAAATGTATAGTTGGATAGCACTATATATATAGCTCAACAAGGGTATGTCACATATGTGTACCAAGAATTAAAATAACCAATGATTATCATTATTATTTTTTGGGTGACGAGGGAAACATGCAATCACTATTTAAGGATGCATGCTAGGTAAACCCCACTCCTGTGTAATAACTCACAAACTATACAAGAAAAGTAAACTACATTAAGAAGATGCTAAGCGACAGACTTGACCAAGAGATGGTTGTCTTTAACTATACAAAGTTTCAGACTCTATCTCCAAACTACAACCATAATCTAGGAGTATTCAATTTGTAACAGTTCCAGCCTTCCAGAGCATAACATTTCGTAGAAAAAACAGTTTGCAAATACAGATGAAAATAAACAAAAAAAAGGCAATATTTACTTGTGTTTTATTACATTCATAACTTCATTTTGATGTATGGAAGAGGATTAGTTCGTGTTGGCTCTATCATCAATTAAAGCACAAGATGAACTACTGAAACTAGAGAGCCTACCTCCTTTGAACCAGAATTCTTGAGAATAATTGAAGCCCCAGAAGTGTTGGGATAATGTACTGAATCTGATTGCTTACTCTGTGAATTCTGTTTATCTGACAAGTGAGATTCTTGTTTCATGTCTCTTTCACTTTCTGCATTGTTCAAGCAAGTACCATTCTGCAAAAAAAAAAAAAGTAAATTTCAAGCATACTTGTATTAGCTTCATGCAGTCAAAATGATGCACTCCAAACAGAACATGAGAAAACAATAACTGATTTAATGGTAAGTGTGAAGTTGGCAAAAGAACAATGGCATTAAAATTTTGTCCAATTATTATTACATCTGATGATCAAAATGCAATATTGAAACTCCATGACAGTAGCAACTTTGTTACTAAATGTGTCTTGTAAAAGCAGAATTCCCAGTACTGAAGTCGAGCTACCATAATAATCTGTACCTTACTACTCTCTGACTTCTCATGAGCTTGTGATGTAGCAAGGCTATCCTCATCCCTCTGTTTATCCTCTCTGTAGCCAGATCAACAAGGGGAAAGCATAAGGCAATAACAAAAGTGAAAAAAGGGTCAAATACGCCCCTAAACTTTATACGAGAAGTCAATTAGGCCCCTGAACTTAATTGCAACTTTTAAAAGTTCAGAGGCCTAATTGACTTCTTGTATAAAAGTGGCAAATACTTGGGTTTAGCCAGCTTTAAGCTCCCTAGATATGATTTTCAAATCATAGAATACAAATATTTGGGTTATGATACATTAATGTTCAGGTGCATGCAAGTACCACTCCCAATAGAATGGAAACCATAATACACCTAACAGATGTATATTACACACAAGATTTTGTGAAGTATATACAAAATAATAATAATAATAATAATAATAATAATAATAATAATAATAATAATAACAACAACAACAAATAAAATTATATGTATAAAGTTATAAACAAGTATGCAAGGTTATCATGCTTACACTTCTTGAAAATATAAAGCTTTTGGTGGATTGACCACATCAATACCAAACTCTGATTGTTGGCATTGTTTATTAAGCAGCGCTGGATGATCATTATCCCTCTGTTTCAGCTTGATAATATCTGCCTCCATAGGAGCAATCTCCTTCGGCTCTGCATTCTTGTATTACACATAAAGAGGATTACTACTATGGACTACTTCCACAATGACAATAACAAATACGGAGTATTTGGAAGTGCGGTTATACTAACTGTTTCATCAGTACTACTAGAAACAGGCAATGACCCTTGAAAATTCTCATGTCCAGCTTCCAGTACCATACTAAATTCCCTTTCCTTCTGCAATTGTTCCTGAAGCCTCGCCACCTATCCATGCCAAAGGGTGGAAATCATTAAACATTCCCAAAGATAAAGTAATATAAGTATAATGTGCTTAAAAATTGGTTATAACATGTAATCCTTAGCATGTATTCTCGAAGCAAGTGGGCAAAATTTTATTCATAGCAAAGCAAGACATGACAATTTTGGTTTCCAACTCTAGCTTCTGTATCATGTTAGTAACAGAGAAAATATAAGTAAAGCAATTTCTCTTCAAACTAAAAAGTGGAAGGTAAAACATCCACAATAATTATGACCCCAAACAGCCATAATAGCAGTGGTCCCAAATGATCAAATTGTTAACAAGTCTGACCATACTATTATCATAGAAATCACATATAAACATTTCAGAAAGTAACACAAAGAATCTCACAAATTGGTCCTTTAAAAAATAATTTTACCCAACCTGTCATTAGATAAGAATAAAATTTGACTTTTTTTAGATAAGATAAAAATTGACTTGTTGATGCTGCAACAAACACAAATTTATAGTTTGAAATTGTAAAAATACTTAAAAATGAGAGGAAAGAGAGTATCTAATCTAGCACATACATCTTTCTCAAGAGCTAGACGGCACTCAAGCAAAGCATTCTTTCGTTTCTCCAAGTTTTCTTGCAGAAGTGCATTCCTCTTAGCCTATTATTAAAAATAAATAAAAATGAAAGCATAACATTAAGGGGGAAATTATAGAGTTCAGATGAAAGGCATGCATTCTCTCATGTCCATCTCTCAACAAGAAAGGATATACAATGATCTGTACCTCCTCAGCAATTCTGTTTTGCAAGACAGTTTTGGTGGCCTCCAGTCTCTGGATTTCATCTCTGGAGAAATAAAAGCAACAAGAGAATACCAAAATAATATCAAATATATTTTGGAGATTCAGAGAGGAGATCAGAAAGAAATTGATGCTTGTTTGCAAGCAAATAAAAGAAGGGTATAACGCACAAAACATGTATACACATTTTAAATGCTAATAGCAACTACAAATGCAATTTTCACTGAAAACATAAGAAAAAAATACATTCTGAAAATTCACAAAATACTGTCACCCAATTCAGAAACAGGCATCCAACCAATTTCATATATACTAGTAGGTAATCTATTCAAGTTAAGATGAGGTAGAGGACAAAAAAATTAGCTCCAATTTTATAAGAGATAAAGGAAAAATTTACAGTACATAGCAAAGAACTGCATGTCTACATCATATCAAAAGAATAGGAGCAAGAACACCATGTTGAGCTGTAAAGGAAGAATCATAGTCCTTGTTTATGTAGTAGCAGCAACAAGAATTTTTTACATAAAATTCAACTAATGATAAATGAATGCATCACTTACTCATCATCAAATGCAACATCAATAGACTCCATGGAAAGGTTCTTTCTACCCTGTACTCAGAAAAACAGAACAAAAGAAAATGAAAATGGTCATAATAGGGAGTACTTCAAAGGGAGACACTAGTAAAAATGAATAAATTCAAAACTAATATCTTAGGGAATAAAACAATACCCAATTAAATGAAAACATAATAAACTGCAATAGAAATGAAAATTTGACAAAAGATTATGAATTGAAAAGTAAATTTCTCCCAAAGAATATACTGACAATTCTACGCCTGAAGATGGATTTCCACCGAAGGTGCAGTATAGGCCCATTATGCACGTCTATGGACTTTAGAAACGTGGATGTTTCAGCAGATCCAGTTTTGAATAATTCACTGGATTCATTTTCTGGTGTAGCGCAAACATCCCCATGGCTTGGAGCACTATCAATCCCTTCCTTCCTTTCATGCCAGAGAGAAGTTCGAGGAGGTTTTCTTGGTGGCACTTTATCAACTTCAACAGCATTGCTTACTTCAGAAGACTTGGAGACTAAATTACCATCTCTGGGGCTCTGCATATTCCATACAGCTCAATAAATTGACTACCTCCAGCGGGAGTTAGTGAGGAATGACAATGTAATAAAAAGCCATGCATGACTTTAAAAGAACATATGAAACATAGACAGAACATGGAACCTTCAAAGAACCATAAGGAAGGAATTGCCATCATTAGCCTTTGAAAGAGTTTATTTATGAGCTAACCTTTTATCATTACAGGAGTACAGGTACAGGGCTTTTGATTGCTGCTCTTTCATATGTGATGGAACAGATTATACCCACCCATGTTAAACAGGTGATTATCTATGAAGTAATTATATGAATGAATTTAAGCTCTGTAATAGCACTAGATTATTTGGTATCATTTCATGCATGGTACCAAATCCATCTAAAATGAATATACAAGCCATAAAGAAGGCTAAATTCGCGCACTTTATTAAAGAAGACAGTCAAGTACATTGAGAAAAAGGGAAACTTTATTTGTGCTAAGATGAGTTCCCCTCACAGTCCTTCACTAATCCTCGCTCAGCATCACATTCAGTCACCGGGAAGCCTCGAATGGCGCAACTCACTTCTCCGGCGAAGAGGGCTCGTCCAGGAAAGCCATCTCTTCCGATGAACCAGCAGGAGATGGGCAGACCGTGTCCCAGAAGGCCGGCATCAGAGGCGGAACCGCGGGTGCTTCGTCGTCCGGGTATAGCTCGAGATAGCAGGCAAAGTCGCATCCGACATCAGATCAGAGGCTGGCCCATTGAAGTCGTCCAGTGGGATGGTAAAGGTCATTTGGAAGGCCAGCTGTTCTGGGACCGCCACCTCGACGAAAGTCCCATCCTTGGCCGTGACACGGGCTTTGGTTTGGGACGAAGGATCAATTAAGGGAGAGGAATCCACGGCCGGAGGCGGGGCCTCAGTTGCCATCCGCGAGTCAGAAGAGGTAGAGCCAGAATTATGTCTTCGAGAGGCAGGTCTATGAGCTTTTATTTTTCCCTTCTCCAACCTCGATCTTGGAAGGAGGGGGGCGAGGTGGCGACCCAAAATCAATCTTCTTTCCTTTTATTGGAGAGCGGCCCATGTTGGCAAGAGGGATGAAGAAAGGCAAAAAAGCAAAAGCGTTATTTATAAGTTCGAGAGGTAGAGGAAGGAGTTAAAGCGAATCAGGGAAATCACGCAGGATCCGGTTGCGATCCGGCCACTGAAGGGAGAAGATTGGGGAGAGATTCCAATGATTTGCAGTAAAGAGGCGGTTACTTTTCAACATTCGAGTGGGAGAAAGGACTTAATGTTGAAAAGTGAGGGACTAGTTGATGGGGTACGGGCCCCGGGGCCCAAAACCTGGGAAGAAGAGGAGAAGCTCAAAAGCAAGAGCGGCCCGAAGAGAAGAAGGGGCTAAGCCCAGGAGAAACATAGATCGAACTAAGAAGTCGGCTCGACCTTGAGGCGGCGCGAGTGCCAAGAGACCGTTAGAGCATTTAAAGAGGCTGCTTTAAAGACACAGTCAAAGAGCCGTTGGGAGGCCCAGTAACGGCTGCCCAACGGACTTGAGAGTTAAACGAGAGTTATGGGCCAATTTATGGCCTTAAGTGTATGCTTGATTCCAAGGAGACCCACTATAAAAGGACTCCTCAGAAACTGTAAAAGGGGACGGCAAGTTCAAGACAAAAGAATACACACACATACTTACAAGAGCCATTATTTCCCTTCCTTTTTGAAAGGTGAATCCACCAACCAAGGTTGTGTTGGACCTCCCTGGACCCAAAAACCCTAAAACCAACACAGAGTAAAGACAATTCTTTGGTTCTGAAAAGAAGGGTGCAAGGACAGAGGACTTCAGAATTCTAGCACCATATAAGATAGCCAGAATATCTTATCATCAAAAGTGGCTGTATTATGATGACGTCTAGGTGGTCAAGCAAAGGAAGAGAGAGAAACCAACCTCATTAGTAACTTCATTTTCTCCAGTCTGGTTGGTGGTAGCAGCAGATGCATTATCTGAATCATCATCTATATTCTCAACAGAGCCATCACCTCCATACCGTTCATCATGATCAACATCATTAGTATATTCTTTGCTCCCAGTTCCACTACCATCTGACCCAGAATACTGTTCAGGTGACCCAGAAAGAGAACCTCCCTGCAACCAGTTCTAATGGTTCTTATTCAAAGAAGTAAGAGAAGGGAAAGGCTACCAAACTATGTTTTGTTAATAACTGAAAATGTCCTCCCTTAACAGATTTAATGGACCTTATCAGCATAACCCTCCTGCAGAAGTAGGAGTTTCATTCATTTACTGCTTTTTCTGGGAGGGTGCCAAGTACACACTGATGGACTCACAAAGCAAACAAGCTAAATTACCAACCCCATTATTCCAAAAAAGGCTACACAGATCAACCAGTAATCACAAATTACCAAAATTCCAAAACGGAATAAGTCATTTTCTGCAAGGAGTATTGACTTTGTATAAGGTTCTACAAATTACCAAGGAATTATAAGATACCCAATACCATATGTCCCACAAGAGCAGAGAAAAAGATGATATATGTCTGAACTGAGATGAGCTCCCAAAACAACTACAATTTGCTGATGGATACTCTAAACCGCAATTTCTCAATTAATGCGTTAGTTACATAGCAAGCAATAGATAATAAAAATCCTAACAAAATCTTACCCCAAATATATTATCATATTCCTCTAGCAAAGTGATAACAATAGCTTGAGCATGGTTTGCTGCTGCTGCAGCAGCCTTTAGAAGTTGAACAGATCCACCACCTCCCATGTCAAAGTTATGATCAATTTCACAATCTCCAGCTAAAAGAGGGTGTAGAAGTAAAGGTGCCATGCAAGCTGCCACAGCTGTTGTGCTCATTCTATTCATATCCTTGTGAGTTACCACATTTTTCATCATTATGAGCATTCTGATAGATTAAGAAAGGGTATAGTCAAAAGCACAGAAGCCCATTTTCAGATTATCAAAAAACACAGATGCACATTGTAGAATGATCAAATGCACCAGATACACATTACTAAAATAAACTTAAAGACTAGAGCAAAGTTTAACATTAGAGAAAGATATTAATTTCCAAATCCACCCAGCATGTCAGCTAAAACTGAAATAGTCAATACAACTTTTCAAGAGAAAGATATTAATTTCCAAGTCCACCCAGCATGTCCCATTTCTTACCACTTGTCTCTTCCTTGAATCAAATCTTGTTAATACTTGAATTTTAGGAAATAGGATTTTAATGACTTGATTGTATTCCCATAGTTTTTGGCTAGTTATTTTCCTAAGAAAAAGAAAACTCAGCAGTCCTATATAGTATATGTGCTAAAATATAAGTGTCAACAAATGATGGCATGAAAGGCAAGTGCGCATGTTCAAATGTGCACAACATTGCATGGGCCTCATAAAAGGCATGTCCATGCAATATAGGCTACATGTCAATGTCCAAAAGAATTTATCCACTCCTTGTAGAAATAGCACTCATACAGTTGATTTCCCAAATGAAATAAACATTAAGAAATTGACATCCTGGATGATAAACTTACTCAATGGATCAATATGGAAACAGAATGTTCTCACCAGAAGACATGCACATGAGAATATGTACTGGGTTCAAAATTGCAATTAAAATTTGTAGAAGTGAGACAAGCAACTTTAACAATAACAAAATATGAACATAGGCAACATTCATGAATGAGAAAGATTATGAAATATCATGCCAAAAAACACAAGTGAAAAGTACTTATACTAAATACCTTTGTAACAAACGACGATTTGGTTCTGGAAACATCTCCATTATAGCTGAACGCATAGCACTAACTCTCTTACCTCTATCAGTTCCTAAAAGCAATCATGAAATCTTCCACTAAGTAACATTATTTCACCAAAAGTGTAATAGAGCACTTGAAAAGTCACCAACTACACAAATTTAGCAATTGAACAACAATATTGTAAGAATTCAAGCTACCCAAGTATAGGAGATTATTAGTTTCCTATAAATGTGGGATTGCTAATTTAGGGATATTAGAGCTGAGGTTATCTTATCTTAGACAGTATAAATTAGCTTCTAGAAATTAGGGTTATCTGATGGATCCTTTTGTATATATGTACCCAAATTGTTCATAGTGAAATCATGAGAAAATTCTTACTCTATTCAGCTTCATGGCATCTACGGGTAAGCACTTTTTTGGTTAAACAGATTTACCCGATAACCGAACCGAAGAAAAAAAAAATCAGTTGGCCATTGGTTATATAAGTTTTTGGTTAAACATATTTACCCGATAACCAAACCGACCAAAAAAAAAAATCAGTTGGTCATTGGTTATAAGTTTTGAAAAGGTTTTGGTTTTCCGGTTACCCATCAGTTTTGTACAAACAGTGACCACGGGCTACACCTACACTCAAAGAATGTGGATATAGTTGGATACAAGTAGATTTTTTTAGTGAAACAAAAAGCTGATTGCAGTATTGAACAATTCAAGGCCTGTTTGGTTGCCAAGGGCTTTACCTCCTATTAACAAACACGTGTTTGTCTACATGTGTACGAATGTATGTGTGTATTTGCGTACATATTAGATACTCCACATTATATATGTTTATGTACGTATACAAGGATATTTGTGGTGTTTTGAAAAAGTAGTTTTTTTTTTTTAAAACTCAAGAATAACTAATACCTAATACCTCCCCCCACCCCGGAATAGTTCATTTCCGATAATGTTATTCTTGACAATAGAAAACCAAACCAAATGAAAAAAAAAAAAAAAAAAAAAACTCAAGAATGATATTCCATTCTTGACCTATTTTGTGAATAAAATAAACAGCCTAAGTTTTTGTGCACTATGAAGATTATTAAATCTATTAAAATAACTTGTACCAAAATAAATAAGTATATTTGTTGATTTTGTTCAAAAAAAAAGTATATAAATAAAATGAAACAAATCTGAGACTTTTATCTTTCAAGCATCAACGGGGCAGAAACTTAATGTGTTTGTGCCGTCCCTCCCAGAAATTGAAGTTTTTCAATAAATACGATATTTTATATCCATCCACCATCACAAGGACATCCAATTTTCTGCAACTACTTTTTCCGGGGGTAAAGAGGATCAAATGTGTTTCCCAGCATATCCTTAAGGTGATGGTGGCTACAAATGAAAGCTGCATCATCTCTTAAAGACTATAACTCTGCATATAAGAACACATGGAATAGAAATAGTAGCAATGGAACTAATATCAAAATAAACTTACGAAACGCTTCAAGCAAGGCATTGCAGCAAGATGCAGGAACTGGAGATGACGGCATTTCTCGGAGGATATACTGAGCAATTTACCATAGCAAAAAACAAAATATGAAAACATTGTTTAAAAAGGTTTAACCTGAGGAATCTGTAATGAGATACCTTGACACAGTCACCAATGATATGTGCATCTTCATCTGGATAAAATTCAACTTTCCCTGGGTCAAAAGACAATAGTTACCAAATAATTCAGTTTCCTCTGAGCACGCTGCACTAACAAAAATTTAATTAAAACTATAAAAGCACTTAATAATGTTAGCTTCATGATATCATGTATGTGCAAGCATGTCTAACTTTTGTTATGTTTGAGTTTTAGGTTTTTAGATATTCACACATCAAGAAAAGAAAAACAACATCACTGTATTCTCACCACCATTATGATCACCAATAATTCACAGGATGTATGAATCTTGGGTACAGGAAATAACTTCAGATACATATCAGTGGAGACATTTCTAAGAACTGATATTCACATGGTTTTTGCAAAACATGTCAGATTTTCTCAGTGTAAAAATTTAGCACCATGGAGCAAAGTGAATAAAATTCCAAAAGAGCTCAATGAAAGAACAAACTGAAGAACAAAGAGACCTTGTTTGTACTCTCGAATTCGGCACTCAACATCGTCAACATCTGCAGCTTGTCGCAAGATGCCTTCAATTTTAACTCCTGTAAATATGTTCAAGTGATCAGCACCAAATCATTGACAAGAATGCATTCTAAGAACCAAGTCCAGAAATTATGAAGAGTACTGAAAAATACTTTTAATGATAAAAGATGCAGGAAATTCTACAAGTAAAGGCTCTGTAAAAGCAAGGACACATTACAGTCATCTAACAGACTCTGGCCTATTAATTGTAGGTCAGAGGGTTTAATACTTTAATATGAATAAGAAATCAAGAGCCTGGAGAGAATCCAGATATATGACCATCAGCATAAAGAAAATAGAGCACTGGTTTCAAAGAAATTCATGTATAAACAGTGTAACAGAGGCTGATGGTGTAGAAATTTAGGGACTCTAGGGTGTAACAAGTTCCAGCATATTTATACAGAGTTCACATATGAATCTTACCATGCTTTTCTATGAACTGAAGGGCTTTCTCCAAGAAAGATGGATTTCCATCAATATCTTCCAAAGCAAGTAAAACAGGTTGTCTATCCTTAGCTACAGAGTAAAAAGTGAAATATAGCTTCATTAGAAGGATAATCAAAATAAAAGCAAATGCATATTTTGCCAAAACAAATTGCCAAGGGAATCACCTATCTAGGGAGGAAGGAACAACACTCAAAAATTAAAGAACTCCAAAAATAATAATAATAATAATAATAATAATAATAATAATAAATAAATAAATAAATAAAGAGGAACATGGCATTTGCCATTAAAACTCTACTGCAAGCTTCTATTTACTGAAATCACACAGTGGAAACTAAATATACTCAAGTGTTAAATTTTACATTTTTGCCAATGTTACAAACAGAAGAATCCTAAACAATTTCAGAATGCATGAAAATATAAAGCTACTCCAAACTATAGCTTGCTGAACTGGAAGAACTATGGAAAGGAAGTAAAAGTCAAAAACATGTCCACAACATAGAATGTAAAACTAAGAGCAAACCTAACACACCAAGTATGCTTAGCTAGAAAGAGACAGGAAAACCAGGTATCCTTTTCCTTATCATTATGCCTTTTGATTTTACAACCCAAAAAGTTAGTGAAGCTATATCAACAGCCAAATTCACTCAACTACACGTCAAATGAGAAGGAACTAAGCAATATCAAACAGATCATGTGACCCATGACCATATAGGTAAAATGCTTACATTTTTCTGAAGAAACATCAGTTGCATTGACCTGATCATTCCTGAGCATTCCATTTTGTCCAATCACAAGAGCAACACTAGGTACATTTGCTAAAGCCTCTTCTAGTGCAACCCTCCACTCAAGCAATTCTTCTAATGTTTCAGCCTAAAATATCAGAAGTTCTCAACATCAAAAGAGCAACTCGGAGCGCATATTCTATCCAATCAGATACCTTAACGGCTTAATTAATGGTGATCATGAGGTAATGTACAAAAATGCTGGATGACCTAGTGTGCAGGCTCCCATATAATGCATTCATGCAAGATTTGTGTAAGGGAAATGCACCTCTGTTCTGAGAGATTGTTTCTGAGGCTTAAGCCTATGATGTAATGATCAATGAGTGAGCAATTGGCCTTTACACCATGCCCAACCTTCAATTATGATGTCATGGATGAAAATACCATAAGTCATTTGCAATTTCAAAGCTAAAATTTTGTCATATTCTCCATGTTATTATAATAAGATGAAAAGAAGATAAATATTAAAAGGGAATAACAAGTACTACAAAACTTAGAAATGAAGAATAACCAGACCCAAAAGGAAAAGAATGAAAATACAAGAGCTCACAAAATTAAAAGAAAAAATAAATCAAACAAAAGGCATTGACAATCTAGCACCTTAAAAGTTCGCCCATCACGACCATCAGGAAAGAGCACGGTCAAGAGTTTTTTATCTTCTTTGACAACCACACTGTAAGGGGAAGAAACCTCAGTAGACTGTTTTACAAATATAATACACAATCATCTAAATTGTGGCATTAAGGATGAAAAAAATAAAAAGAAAGCCAACCTGCCTGAACTGTTAAGATCAATAGCACCAAGTATTAAATTTACTTCACCTGGTTTTTGAGGTGAAATAGTCTGAAATGTAAAATCAATGAAATGAACAAATAAGTACATGTAACTTTATATAAAAAAATGAAAACTAATAAAGTCTTCTGTAGATTCTAAAGAAGACAACAGATACAACCTGAACAGAAAGATGGGGCTTGAATTATGACCACAGCAATTACTCAAAAAGAAAATAATGGTTGTTTAACCTAAACACTTAGAAGTTATCTGCCTTCCATACAATCATATAACCATCGGTGAAAAAATCATCGTTGCCCACACCAAGGATGGTGCAACCCTCAAGTTTCAACTTAGCATTTCAGGTAACTAATAAGGAATATTATCTAAATAAATACCACCATTTTACATAAATGGATGCCATGTAAGCCCAGATAGTGCTGCACTTGCAAGCAGTTCACATAAAATTGGATAGATAAAAGGAACAAAAGGTAAATTTGCAACTCCTGTAGATGCAGTATCAACAGAAAATTTGATAAATCAAAACTCGAAGTTCCTTGAAACATTGTATTGGGATAACAGAAACAATTAACTAAAACTTTTCACATTAAATCATAGAGATAATGATATTTGTCCAAGACCATCACTAGACCTAACTTAGATTTTTTAAAATCATATGACAAAACTTTGGCTCACTAGAGAACTTACAGGATCACTTCTAAAGAAGATCAATGAAGTATGTGTTAAAATGAACCATCTTTTCTTCCATGATGTCCATCCAATACCTACAAACAAAATTGACTTTAAGATTCAAGAATAGACCACCACTATGGCATTTGGCAATTACAAAAGTATCCAATTTCAGCTTATTGTCTAGTATCATGATCAATGGTAAATTCTTACCCGTGAAACACTAGAGTTTAACTTTTGTTACAAAACAAGAAGATAAAAATCAGTCATTCACTAGAAAGCAAGGAGATAACAACTACATATATGTTTTTTAAAAAAGAAAATGTGAAATACGAAAGGAAGAGGAGTTCAAAGTAGTAAAATAAGCTTAATTTTCAGTCCTAACAATAAGCTTCGTATGCAATAACAGAAGAATGGAGGCAACCTTTAGATGATACAAAAAGGGGGCCGCATTTGTAAACCTGTGAAACAAGGTAAACTTTTAAACTTAGAACTTCAAATTGGCAAACAAATAACAAATTCTATATATACTTTGTACTATACATGCATAGCATATATTCTGGGGAAGGGAAATGCACTTACTAGAATTGTGAACCTCACAAATACTGCTGCAGTATATTCTCAAATTAATTGCCAACTGTACTAATAATAATAATAATAATAATAATAATAATAATAATAATAATAATATTATTATTATTATTATTATTATTATTATTATTATTATTATTATTATTATTATTATTATTATTATTATTATTATTATTATTATTATTATTATTATTATTCAAAAGGTAAATTTGTTCTGAAATTATCACTCTCCTCTCAATTTCTATGTAAACATTTATCACAAGCACACGGACAATGGGAAAAAAAAATAGAAGAGGCAGAAATTGAAGCATTATTTGATAATTACCTAAAGACATGCTCTGTACAAAATTTGCTTAGGATTATAATTACCTTATAAAAATTGTGATACTGCAGCTGGTGATCAGTGGAATCAGGAGGCTGAAGAGGAAAATTAGCACCTTCTCCCTGCATATCCGAAAAACAAAAAACAAAAAACAAAAAACAAAAAACAAAACAAAACAAACAAAAAAACAAAAAAGTAAATACAAATTGTTTAATTTTTGTACTAACGCAGCAAGAAAATGAATGATTAAATTGCACGGTTATTATTTTTATATATTTATATTTTATGCTCAGCCTATTATTGGTCTGACCAATCATATGAAGTTTCAACTAATTCAAAATCCAGCTACTACTGTTGAAGCTCTTCAATCTTAAAGCTCAAACCAATTTGAAGAACTTTAGATGATGATAGTACTATCATACCTGAGAAGCATCTGCGTTGTGATAAGTCATGGCGCAATTCTGAGTACAGACGTCCGCAATCTCGATCAGGAAATCCTACATTTGTCAAATGATCAGATACAAAAAGAGAACCACGGTACAACTGGATTCATTCCCGTTTCCGAAATGTGGATCAGAGAAATAGACAGCGAAAAGCATACCTTTGAAAAATAATAATAATGATAAGAATGCAGCAGACAACAGCGATGAAGAAAAAGTGAGGACAGAAGACTTGGAGATAATATTCTATCGCGAATTGAAGTTTTCTTCCTTCACCTGCGGAATTCTTTTCCTTTCCTTTTTCTTTGGTTCTGACTTCTGCGAGTCAAGCGAAGAACGCATACGAAATTAAGCATTGAGCTCAGGAGATTACAGAGAGAGAGAGAGAGAGAGAGAGAGAGAGAGAGAGAGGTCTAGCTTTCTCTCTCTATCTGTTCCCGAAAAGAGCGGGACAGGACTTTGATCGACGTGGCTTAATTCACTCACACGTTGGGCCGTACCCGTACCCCCAGCGACAGCGTCTATTTTGGAGGGAAAATATATTTCTCAATTTTCTGCCTAAATTTAGGCATGCTCGCCAAGTCAAGACTCAAGACTCTTGTTATTGTATCCTCCCTTTCAAGGTTTAGTTTGGTAAAGTAACAAAATGTTAAAATTCAAAAAGTTGTTTAAAATAATTCTTAAAAAAAATTATTTTGTATGTAATTAGTTATTAGTTAATCGTTAATTTACTAAATATTTTTTTACTTTCACTTAATTTTAATTTATTTGAACATTTGATACTAATAGATCTTTGACTTGATTAAACATTCAATATAAATGTTTAATTAATTTATTTTTTGTAACAACTTATCATTTCAAAATGCTTAAATTTGAAAAAGTTACTCAAAACAATTTTTTGATAAAATCATTTTGCATGTAACCAGCTATCAACTAACAACTAATTTACCAAACATCTTTCTACAATATTTACAAAACACTCCATTAATCTTATAGTTTTCATTTTTAATTACCCCCCCCCCCCCCCACCCACACACACACATACATACATACATACATACATACATACATACATACATATATATATATATATATATATATATATATATATATATATATATATATATATATAATCATGATCAAATGTGAACTAAGTTTCTCGTGATGAGTGTAAACTAATTTGATCCATCCATCTAAAAGGCTTATGGGACTAACAAATGACGGGATTAATTTTATAAATATTAGTATAATAGAATTAACTTAGGGATTCCATACATCTATTTCATGAATGTAACAAAACAAATTAGAGCAAATCCATTCTTTTTTTGCAAATAGCACCAGTAACACAATTACAAATAAGACATTACCAACAAAAAATAAGTTGACAAGCAATGAAGACGAAGACAATGGCCCTGTTTGGTAAAAAATTGGTCTATAGGCCAATTTTGGCTTATTTGACCACTATTAATTGTTTGATTTAATTAAAATATCAATATAAATGTTTGATTAATTAGCTTTTTGCAACTCAAAAAGGTTAAATTTCAAAAAGCTACTCCAAGCAACTTTTTCAATTAACTTTTTGAAAAAAAAAAAAATTATACCAAACAGCTATCAGCTAACAACTAATTTACCAAACAATTTTCTACAATCAGCTAATGTTATCAACTATTTATACCCTCTAATTAACACAATCAGCTAACAGCCATTTTACCAAACAGGGCCAATGACAAACATATCCAAAAGCAAATTAACAAAACTTAGAGTAATCCCAACCAAAAGTAGTATTTACTACCTAATACCATATCAACTACAATAAGTATTTAGATAATTGTTTTTTTTTTAATACTATTGACTCTATTACAAGATAGTATACATTCTATACTTTCTCTAACTATTGCAGCTCAAAGAGTCAATACCCACCACCGAGGTTCGATCCTGTGGCTCCCTTTCCCTCAAAGGGAGCCACAGAAGTGCCATATGAGCACAAGGTGCTTGACAAATAATTACTTTTAAAAAAATATAAATTAAACATTAATTTTAATGTCAATTATAATGAACTTCTTCTATATAATCCTGTGTAGATATATTTTGAATTACTTAATTAAATATAAACATGAGTAAATACCCAAAATGGTCCCTTGACTATAGCTAAATTCATAAATTGATCCTCGACTTTCAATTTCAACCAATTAAGTCCTTAACTTTGTAATTTTAACACGATTTGATCATCCGTTTGTTGACTGTGATTTTTGAGGATATATATGCAATTTCATGGTCCATCATCGGTTTTTTTAAGGTTCCGGTTGCATTTTCAGACCACACTGTTACATTTGAATCCACTACAGAAAGCAATCTACCAAATTTGGTCGTCTTTCTTCATCCTCCCTTTGGATTCAATGTAGTTGAGTTCGTACCAGAGCGAAGTAGACGATGTGTCATCCTGGAGGCCTCTATGTGCTCCGACGAGAGCTGCAGGTTTTTTTGGAGATCGTTGATGACGGCGCAACCGCCGGCGAATGATGCAGAATCGTGAAATTACATATATATCCTTAAAGATCACGGTCAACAAACGGTCAAATAGACGGAGGACCAAATCGTGTTAAAATTGTAAAGTTAAGGACTTAATTGGTTGAAATTGAAAGTCGATGACCAATTTGTGAATTTAGCTATAGTCGAGGGACCATTTTGGGTATTTACTCTATAAACATTGATATAATATTATAAAATAAATTTTTTATGTGATGTAGCATGAGATAAAGGGTAAGGTATTGTACCTTTTTTGACAAGTTGAAAAAATCAAATTTGACATCAAGAAATTGAATCATTTATTGTAAACTTGTATTATGATTTGCGTAAATGTCGGTTAGACAGTTGGGTATTTAAGCATTTCGCATTTTAATTATGAAATTAGTTGAATTTAGTAAGTCCTTCACATGTCAACTGTTAAGCTTTGAAATGCTGTACTTACATATGTCACTTGTAAAAGTGACAAGTTTAATTAATAGGTTGAGATTTAAAATAAGAAGGAAAAGAAAAAAAAAAAGGAAAATAGACCTATTAAAATTTGTTATATTAGAGTGTACAAGTATGTAAATGGTAGATTTATGGCCAATTAATATTTTTAAGATGTTTTTTTTTTTTTTTTAAAGATCAAGAGAAAGGGAGAATTTCCAACAAAGTTATATGCTAGTCACACCTCGGTGATGGGGCATATCCATGGAAACGCCAGCAAGCATCCTGAGGATTTCGGTCTTCGGTTGAGATAACAAATAAAGGCCTCTATTTATACCAAGGATTTTTAAGTTAAGATGTTATATTTTTTGTCAAGATGTTAATATGACGAGCAATGCTATATATCTCTACAAAAATCATTCTATTTTTGTCACTCCCTAGTATGGCAATTTATAATAAGTTGATAGTATTTTTAAAGGAAAACTAATCAAACAAAAATACCCACCTCAGAAAGTGACAAAATTTGTATAGTTTTTATAGGAGTGGGAAGCATTTCCTTAATAATCTAATATGTGACTAGATAGAACTTTCACAAACCCCTATTACTTTCGAATTCCCATAAAAGATTGGCCTTAATACGGTGTGCATAAAATCTGAGAGAAAAAAGTAAAATAAATAATCAAATTCATAGACATGGATGAGATGATGTTGTTGTCTTTCAATTTAATTAGATGAATTGGATTTTGGTATCCTACTGAAAGAACCTGTGGTCATAAAAAAAAATATTTCGGCTTTTAAAATTGTTTATTACTTTTTTAGTTTTTTTTTTTTTTTAAATGATAAAAACTTGCATCCATTATTTGAGAGTATGCACTAAGTAAACTCTAGTAAATCGCCCATAGAACTCATATACGAGAATCATGGTTCATCCATTCGACCACCCCTTTTAAGACTCTTATTTCCCTTTGTTTATATGATACAATATCGACCTATTATCATTTATAAAATTAAAAAAAAAAAAAAACATGGAGTACTTTTTAAAGTTTGGGTAATTTTCGTATATATTAGACTACTTTTTTAGAATAACATTAAAAAAAAAAAAAAAAAAAAAGATTACCTATCATTTTTTTTTGGGTGTATGATTACCTATCATTGATATTTGCATTGAGATATCAGCGTGTGTGTGACAAGAAAAATACTTTTGTATTCTTTAGAATATATATTCTCACCAAGTGATTTGCATTCATTGAGTGAAACCAATTGAATTACTTCTTAATATCAATTTATCAACCATTGCATAAAAAGTATGGAATAAAATAAAAATACTGAGTATAGTATGAGTTTAAAGGTGTCTCGTATAATTAGAGCATGTTCAGAACAATTCATGGTCTAACTAAAATAAAAATACATATATAATAATATTATTCAAATGCAATGATGGAAAAACAGCATGTCACGATTAAAGAAAGAACATGCAAAGTGAGTGGACAAACAACTAAAATTAAAGACGACAGTTTACTTTTCTTTTTTTTTTTCTTTTTTTTTTTCTTTTTAGAAAGAGGGTAACAATAAGAAAATACTTGATAGATTTTCATTTTAAACTCTTAACTTTTACTCCCATTCACAAGCTTTTGATATAAACACTTTTCTGTGAACCCAAATAATGAAAATAATTAATTATTGTTTGCCACATCAGAGAGTAGAACTGTAAAATTTGGAAGTATGTATAGTAAAACTCATAAGTCATAACTGTAACCACTACTCAAATGAGAGTATTGAATAAATCTCTCATTTATTTAATAGTTCAGACATCGCACATGAGAAATATATTGTACTAGAAAAATCATGTACAACAGGCTCAAGTAAATATGTGTTGACAAGATTCAAACTCGTAACATTAATATACGATAATTATATATACTCTGTCCACTTAACTACCATTTTTAAGACACGATAATTTTACATTGAAAAAAAATGGCCAAATAAGCCAGTGAATTAGAGACAAAAGTGCAACTGAATCAGTGAACCACTGAACAAACAAAAAAAAAAAAAAATCAATTAAACCAATCAACCGTCAAAAGTCATTCAATTTTACCATATAATTAGTTGTTTCAGGTTCACAGAGGTAAAACATATAATGATCATTTTTCATTTAAAAAAAAAAAAAAAGAAGCATGAATGTACAGTAGTAAAAAGCGGACATTGTGATTCAAACTTCAAAGTCATATGATTGGCATAATTGTCAGAGCCAAGCACGTGCAGGAAGATAGAGCAATTTGGTAGATATTTTTCTTTCCATTTTAAGGTACAAGTCGGACTAAATACCCCGCCTCGCCAAGATCTTGTGCTCTAATGACACCCGGATTGAACTCCTATATGAGAGGTTGTGAGTTCAAGCATTAATGGAGACATTATTGACTCTTTATACCTTCAGTAGGTTGAGAAATTAATTATGAACAGATACTTATATTATAAATTTA